CCCCCAGCCCACCTTCAAGTACAAGCTCTCCCTCCTCTGCGAGGGCAGATCTACACATCCCCCCCCCAATAGCTAGCAATTCACAACAGTCCAGTGGAGCCAGAGCGGTGGGTGTTGCCTTCTGACACACTTCTGGTGATGTCGGGGGTGTGGCATATGCTAATAAGCTATGCTAATGTGTTATGCTAATGAGCTCCTGCACCTCTTTTTCTATGAAATGACCCCTGGCAGAGAGTGTCTCCTTGTGTCATGAATGGCTAAAACGGTTGGCACTACTAAACCAGAAGGCAGGTGACTATCATAACTCAAGGTGATAAACTGCACCACCTTGTAATAAACTCCATGCTTTTATCCTTAATAGCACATTTTAGCCTTCTTACCTTTCTCTCTGCCAGTGATTAAAACCTCCAGCCATTCATCTTGAGGTGTGATTACATCCAGCTGTCAACAAAATTGGCAAGAGCCAGCTTCCAGCTGATTCGTGACAGTCAGTGATAATGTATAAAGGAGATAGCAAGACAATTTTGTTTGAAGGCACCACCTTGAAGAGCTTTAAAAGAAAACCTTGTTTTCATTCCACGTTACTGAAAGAAATTCATTGAATCTTCAGTCTCTTCTTAGGTAAAGAACTTCTCAGAAGTCCTTTCCTTTTCCCTGAGCAGAGGGCTTCCTTTCTAAAGAAACCAAAAAAAAAATTCCGCAGTTTCTCACAGAATAATTGATTCAGGGATGCCGCTGTAATCAGCATTTGGTTTTTTTTCCCCAGCTGCCCTGACTTTTTTCCAGATGTTCTAGGACAGTTCTTCTTCCTGCACTTATCCCAAAATTGTGAATGCCATGAGCTGACAACCAGTTGACTACGTGTTTAAGGGTTTTCAGGGGCTTTTCCCCTGCCATTCTTTCTTCTGCGTGGTAGAGATTGACGTGTTTTAGCAAGTGGCAAGGGCTCCCCGCATTTACCATATGAATAGTCTTCTGTATTAATAATACGTGACTGACAATGTTGAGTGATTCCCCTTAAGCTGTAGAGTTTTTTGGCGAGAGTCTCATTTTAAGGAACAGTTTGTCTTCCTTTTCTCAAAGGTTTTCAGATTTCACAATGCCAACAGCTGTTCAAAATATTTAAATAGCTTGTTTCTTGGGTTTTTTAAAACAAATATTCATTTAACTATTGATGTTTTCAAGAGTTATTTTTTTCCCTTGCAGAGAACCTGTATCCTGATAATAATTTTATAAATTTTCTTTATTTGAAATGTTTATTGGTCACTCTAGCATAAGCAAACATGCCAGGCTGTTCACAATGCTTAGAACAATAAAGTCTGCAACAGTACAACCTGAGAGGTTAAAATCAAAGATAATCTAAACAAGAGCATGTAGTGATACTAAGAAGTATAAAGCTTCCAGACATTTTGAAGGTATAGGGAATAAAAATCTATTTGAGGGAGAAAAATGGACATTTGGGGGGGAAATTGAAACACACAGTACTTTTTGTCTGATGCCTAAACTTATCTATTTTAACAATGTAAGATGCATCATTTATAACTGTACTGTTTTTCATAGCTATGAAATTAAAAAATATAAATACCTTGGTGTACTACAAACAAAATTGCTGATTTACCCAGTGCTGAAGTCAGAGAGAGAGCAGCAGACTTTTGTATCCTGTGCTACCTTAGCACATGCCAGGGCTCGTTTGGCCCCGGAGCTCACCAGAGTGACGCTGTGCTAGTCAGGATCCCAGGGGGCGGGCACATGCAGCAAGCCCCACCCTCTGCTCCCAGCAGTCAAACGAGTCAAGTCAAGGCCGGCGGGGAAGGAGAACTAGCCTTGCCGAGGGAGAGGCAGTCTAAGGTGGGAGGGATGCCACCTCCCTCACCCCACCCGCTCCAAATCTGCCAGGAGTCGCCACTCGCCGCAGCCACTCTGCACGGTCTGGTTGCGTCCCCTGCCTCCTCCCTGCCTCCCGTGGCTGCCCTCTGTAGCCATGAGTGTGAATCCTTGTTGCGTGCCTGTGGCTGCTGCTGCGTACTGGGAAATGTCCATCTCTCCCTCCCTCCCTCCCTCCCTCCCTCCCTCTCTCTCTCTCTTTCTTTCCCATCTATTTACTCTCTTTCCATCTCTCCTTGGGAAACTCCTGGAGATTTGAGGATGGAGCCTGGGGAGGACTGGGACCTCAGTGGGGTACAATGCCATAGGGTCCACCCTCCAAAACATCCATTTTCTTCAGGGAAACTAATCTTTGTAGTCTGAAAACGAGTTGTAATTCCAGGGGATCCCCAGGTCCCACCTGGAGGCTGGCACCCCTAGCTCCAGTGCTGAAACGGCAAGCTCTGATTCTGCTGTGTGAGTTGCTGGATGCAGACCACTGGCACTGGCTTGCATCTGCTGAATCACCCTGCTTCATGTAAGATGCACAATGGCCAGGTGGAGGAGGGGAGGGGTGTCATTCTACCAAAAATGAGAGTATTTGGGTTTGTCATTCCAGTCCCAGAACACCTCTGCTACTCCCAGGGGCCATCATTCCAGTCGCAGAGCACTGAGCCTATTCCCCGGGGCTGTCATTCCACTCTGCAAATTTAGAAGCTGCAGGGATTACATGATTAACATGGCTACCCCCTGCTATTTTAGTGTGTGTGTATGGGGGGAGGTGCATAAAGTGCTAACTGGAGTAGAAAAATGGCAGAGATAGTGATGAAATGACTAACCACTCCTTTCCTATTCAAAATCTCCCCCCCCCCAAGAATTTGCTGTTCTTAAAATTGGCCCTGTTCTGCTAAGTGATACCCACTGGGGCAGGCCTGGATCAGTAGATGTATGGGGA